TAGGCATAGGCATGTGGGACACACAGTTGTGTGCTTAACTCTACCATAAAATGGTCGTAATGGAAGTAAATACAAAATTACGACAAAATATTCTTGGCATATTATAATGATTCAGTTCCTGTGCTCAAATCGTTAACTCATTACGTACTGTCAACTTTTGAAGGGAATCTACCCTCTTTCCCTCGTGTATTTCTTTTGCGTGTATCATAATTTGAACCTACAAGAAACTTAAGTTAAATCATAATACCAAAGTGGGCAATATGTAATGATTAAAGACTTGAACACAAAAACTGAATTGTTAAACATATCATACAAAGGAGAGATATATTCATACACAATTGAGGTAACAAACTATCAGCAATTGTATGCTGAAACTGAAAGGTCTACATATAGCATAAACTAATACTGGGACCTACTCAGCTCGTTTATATTACAAAATAATATAAAGAAAGAGTCAACAATTTCACGTTAACAAACTGGCGTTGCCTCTCTAATTCCAATGCTAAAATTATTATGTAACCTCTTCCTACCTAAATTTGCATCTCCTTTCTGCATCATTGCCACAAACTCGTTATAATCTATCCTTCCATCCTGAAAAGAAAAAAAAGATGGACCATCATTAACATGGTGCAGTCGACTCCAAATAAAGCTAAGTTTATTGATGGGACCTACGTTGTCTTGGTCAGCCTCTCGGATCATTTCTTCAAAGTGGACATCCTTTATGCCAAACTCTTCACAAGCTTTTTGAAGCTCATCTGGTGTAATGTAACCACTTCCATCTTTATCAAAATATGAGAATGCTGTAAACAGATGATCTTCCTTCTCAATTTTGTTTAGATGCAATGTTGCAGCTATGAACTCGCCATAATCAATCGTACCACTATTGTCAACATCCGCCTGCATTGTTTCGAGAACATATATTGGAATTGTATAATCGAAACAATAACTATTCATTTTTGCCTTAAATATCCCAAGCTATATGTAAAATAAACTCATATTCTTCCACCCTAATGTATTGTATGAGACTCAAAGCAATACTTACAGACTTCATCAAATCATATATCTCAGATTCATCAAGATTTGCTCCACATCGTTTCAGTCCAGCCTTAAGTTCTTCAAAAGTAATATAACCACTATTGTCTGTATCTATCATTTTGAACATTTCTTTTAGCCCTGCAATTTCTTCTTCCGAGAGACTTTCAGCAATGACCTATAATAATTTTAAAAAAAAAATTGATTTTTAATATCGTAATACCAAAATAAAAAGGAAATAAAGATCATAAATTGTTTCTCAAAACAAGGATTGCATTTATGCATGAATAAGAAAGAAAATTCTCGATTGCTCAAGTATCATTGTAAAAGTTTTGATTGTTCAAAGTGGACATGAACCCTATTTTTTGGCTGAACTTGTGGAATACATACCCTAAGAGCCATTTTCTTAAGCTTGTCCATAGCTGAAAACTGTGTCAACCGAGATAAAACTGCAGAATCAAGAGGTTTATCTGGAGCTGCTCCGTCAACCTGCACCCAAGGGTGGCCTGCAAGAAAACCGAACTTAGAGTACTAAGTAGAAGATGTAGCTGTGTATGAAAATGTTCTGTGCTTACAAAATCATAAATTTATATTGTTTAGATTCTATGTTGGCTCTAACCCAATCCAACTCAAAAACTCCAAATTTCACTCTATATAGTTAGCAAATATTTTCAGGAAAAAGTCGTAGACCTGGTTTCTTCCATAAGATTAACAAGGACTAAATGTTGATCTTAACAAAATAAACGAGAAGCACGAGTGTTATCTTGTAACAACATTAATATTTAGTCCAAAAAAATGCTTTACAACTTGTGGTAATGTATATGTCATTTCGCTTTAAGATACAAGATCCAATTATTTTGGAACACAGGAAATTAATTCATTTGCATCAGATAATATGAAAAAATAAAACTGTGAAGTGAAAATTAATAATTAAAACTTACAAAGAACTTCATGAGCGGTTAACCGCCTCGTTGGATCCCTCACAAGCATTTTCTTAACTAAATCTTTGGCACTTTCAGAGATATTAGGCCAAGGATCTGATGAGAAATCAATATCACCATGCAAAACCTCTTCAAATATTTCTTGCTCAGTTTCTGTACCAAATAGATTTGGAGAAGCATAAGAACTGTGAGTTTATGAATTAAGAGGAATGTGAATTAAGGGAAAAAGAAAACATTCTACATCTTACCTCCCCAAAATGGAGGCACGCCACAAAGAAGAATGTAAATCATCACACCCGCGCTCCAGACATCTGCCTCTGGTCCATAACGCTTTCTAAGCACTTCTGGAGCAACATAATACGGGCTACCAACCACATCAGTGAATATATCCCCTATAGTGCAGAGCATTCATTAAGCAACCAAAGAAAGCATGGTCGAACATGCATAAAGAAAAGGCTTGGATAGTCCATAGTGCAAATAGCATTAGAATACACATGCGGGTTGAAAAGCGTATAAAAAATATGGGATAGAAACAAAATCATTAAATTGTGATAAACTCAGAAATGATGTCCCTTTAATACTTCATAAGCAAAAGTGCAGTAAGATTGGAAGTCTATCGGTGGCCTATGCTTCACTTGCAAACTGAGTAGAATGACTGAACTTAAAACGGAGTCTTTTTAGAATCTAATTTATCTTAACCTGAGAAAGTGATACTAATTTCAGTGAACAAAAACTATGTCAAAATAAAATTCTTGTGTTGCACTGACATAGGGAAAAATGAAAATCTCATGATCAAGGTTTTCGTTTCAGCGCTATCCTCAGTCAGCATTCGTCTAACATATAGCAATACTGTGATCCTAATTGCAACCCCCCTCTATGTACTACTAAGTGTACTGGTCAACTTACTGGCAGGTGAAGGAAATTATAAAGCTGCAAGCATTTGCTGGAGATGGTCCAGCATGTTTTATATTCCTGTGATAATCTTCTAGTAGCTTATACTTGAGGATTAATGAGTATTCTAAACTTTCATTACCAAAAACTAGAACGTTGAGATGGGAAACGATCTGTATTCAAAAGGAATCCCTGGCGTATTCAAAATAAAAGGAAAATGATCTTGCATACGAAGTAAACAGGACGTGAGAATGTGACTTATAAGGAAAGCAATCGTAATAAAAATAATTGATATCCATGATACTGCAGATAATGGACCATCCGGGACAATGTAAGGGAATGATTGAGAAAACAAAGTACAAGTAAAAAATGATATTCACTTTCAGTCTAGAGATTATCAACATGAAAAATTTAAGGACTAATTTACTGTTTGAGAAAATATTGATTATAGGAAAGGTGTAAATGAATGACAATTCAGTATGTAGTGATATCCCTGCAAGTAAACATTTGGATTCAAACAACCACCATGTGTACATCGCTATGGAGAACTACATTTTTTTCCATGAATCCATTTCTAAATTACTCGAAACCAAGTCCATTTTACCTAATACGCACGGTGCAAAATATAGCACAGGCAAACAGACTAGGATAAAATGAGTTCTCGAATAGCATTCTGATGGACATCTGCGAGATAGAACCTAATCATTCTTGTAACTTCATCGGTTTGGCAGTGTACTGCCTTCCTCTTGAATTTAACTTCTATTCCTAAAACTTCCTTATTAACATCAACATGGCTGTGATGTGTGTTGGATCCTGTAGAGGAAACAAACAAAACTGTTTTTCCTTCCCATAGCTAACCATACACCTCCTTCAGGGGACTTGATAGGAAAACGTTTCTCGTAATCTTTATCTGGCAACCAAGTATATAAGCAAAATTCTAACTCCACGAGAAAACTTTTCAGTTCAATCACCATACTAAACTAAAAAAATTAATATACTTCAACTCATAAACAACAAATTTAGTACATTTCATTCAATCATCATCTTTTCATTAAGACATCTTTAAGCTCTAAAATCCTAATTCATCACCTCTGCATTCTAATCTCTTACCAACGTGTGATTTCTCTTGCATCCCAGATGCAATGGAGAAAGAAAAAAAATACAGCACACATTTGTTTGAGCTAGAGAAAATCAAGGAGAGCCTTTCCATAACACATGGACTTCATCCATGCATGCTACAAAGAATGTTATTTTTATTGGTACTTGCGTCTATTATCTTGTCATATTCCTCAGAAATCCATCAGATTGCTATCTAATCCATTTCATGGATCAATGTCTTGTATTGAAACCTTGAGCCGAAGTAGATATCCAATCAATCTAATTTATATTAAACAGTGTAAGGTGGATACACTCTCTGAGGATACTAGTCATTACTAATAATAGTAAACCTGTTTTACAACCGAAACTTCTCATGACCTAGGCAATTAGATGGAGCTATGAAGTTCTGATGGCAGTTTGTCAAAGTTGCAAAGTATCCAACAACTAAAAGGTAAATT